CACTCCTGGCTCCAATAAACTCTGGGAGAAGTCATTAAGCTAGGGCCTCACATACTTTTTCCTCCCTGCACTGTGAATGTTTACATGTTATGTGCAATTAAACCATGGCAACATCTAATGTTTGTGTAGTATTATGTTCAGCAAACTGTGTTCTTCTATTGTTGTGCCTTAGATGACATTCAGAGCACATTTTATGCCCAATTCATGCAAAACTCCACTTAATCCCAAGGGGTTCACATACTTTTTCTTGCAACTGTATATATATACACTGTATGTATATATATATATATAAACAAACATTTTTTTGCTTATATAGAGATTGGTTAGTACACCCATTAAGATTTTACTAATAGAAAAAAAATAGCTAGCATGCCAGGCCCCATATTAGTAGGACAAATACACCAATATTTGGGGGGCACAGAGGCCCTATTTATCAAGGTAACAAGTGGAGTCCCTAAGCTGTCTGCTTTCTTCTATTGGATTTACATTGCACCACCATTTAGCCATGCCCCCACCCTCTCACAGAGGGTGTCTGAAAGTCTGTGCAATGCGGTTTGAAGTATTGTTAGGTTTTTATTGCTGTCTGTGTCCCCACTTGATAGATTCACACTCACTGTTTGCCCTGGTGACCATTGCCATCAGGACAAAATCAATGGGGAATTCAGAATTTTAGAGTTGTCAACAGAACAGGATGGGAAGGTAAATTTGGAACATCTGTTCTGCCTAGGAAGAGATTTCCCATTGTTCACTCATCTCTATGCTGCAGCATTGGTGTGATGCTGCTGCTGTACCTCATTGGCTCTCAGATAATGTGACCGCTGATCGCTCAGATTCTGGTCTACTCAGAGTGGCTCTGTGCTATGCTCCTCCAACTCTCACTGTGCACTAGACAGAAGAGGGGGCAGGAACAGATGACTCTCGGTCTCAGCCGTACACTGAGAGGTGGAGCCAGCTGTAAATCAAGCATCTGGGTGGATCATGACAATGTTGTTGGGGTTTTTCCAAATCCTGGAGTGGCCTTGTTATGTAAGCTGAAAGTGGGCAACACCACGCTTTCAGCTGACTATGGGTCACAGGGGAGCATAAGTAAGTGCACCCCTGTGACCCACCAGAGAATTTTGGCCATAAAAGTTTTCTCCGTACTCCTCTTTGTAGCCCAGACATTTACAAGCATGGCTTCAGGAGAAACTGCATTTACAGGATATAAGCCACGCTTCATCCACTAAGTTGTAAGTTGAGGACATGGACTGCTGGAAACTCTGAGGAGAAGTGTGAAGGACTGTGGGAAATGTAGTGCAAGAAAAAGAGTCTTACTCGAATTAAAGTTTGTTTTGGACTTCAACTCCCAGTTACACTATGGTGTGGAGGAAGGAGAGTGTTTTTGTGGTTTTAAGTATTTTCCTGGGTTTGGATAAGAAGAAGGGCACTCTACTGAAAGACTTAGACTGATACAGACGTGCTGCACCTGAGGAGAGAGAAGAGATGACATCTTGCTGAGCAGAAGAGGCAGTGAATAGAGGTAGCAGTACCTGAGACAGAGCCACTGCCATTCCTGAGCAGTGGAGTGAACCCTGGATGCTGGGAGCTTGCTGTCTAGCTAAGAAGCCAGACACTGAGGACAATTGACAGAAGGGGACAACTTGCCAGGTGCTGACAGGGAGCTGGTGAGAGGCCACTGGCCAACCTTGAACTACGCCTTTGTAACAGAGGGATGGAGCTGCCTTCAAATATACACTGTATTATTGCCTGCATCAGTTCTTAAAGGAACCCTACCCCAAACACACCAACATATTGTTTTGAACTCCAATGAGTAGAGTAGGCTTATACTGACTGCTGAACCGACAGTGTGTTATATCTTTCCCTCTGTTAGGGTTACCCAGAATAGAGTGCAGAAGGGGTTGTGTTTTATACCTATCATTGTGATTGCAGCACATTCTTGCCATTGTTTAAGCATTGCAGTGTGTCTCTCCAATTGTTTAATCTTTGCAATAGAACTTGTTTACTTGTACTTATCCTCTGTTGTTTATGTGGTTGTAATTTATTTCTCATTATTGTCTAACCATTTACTATGGTATTCTGGGTGTATACACCTTAACCCTAGGTTCACACCTAAGCGTTTTCTGCAGTGTTTTGCAAAAACGCAGTACAGCCCATTTAACATGATTTCCTATGGGACATGTGCGTTTTCACCCAATATGTTTTTTGGAAAGGGTCAGGGACTTTTTGAATGCAAAAAGTTGCGTTTTGTTTCTATAGACTTCAATTAAAACACTGCAGAAAAGCATGTATTGCATTTTTGCTGCGTTTTTTAAGCATTTTAAATCTGCCTAGCAATAAGAAAATGTTTAAAAAATGAAAGGAAAATGAAAGAAAAAAAAAAACGCAAAATGTGGCAAAAACGCAACGCAAAATGCAATGCAGATACGGCTCAAATGCAACTTACATGGGTGTGAACCTATCCTAAGTCATATGGGTGTATATCCAGACATCTCCAATAAATATCTTTCACCCACCAGGTGTATTAAAGAGTGTGCTGCTATTCACAGAGCCAGGGACACATGAACAGGGGGACCCATCGCATCATGTGGCTCCTTTGGGAGGAAGTGCTATATATTTTAAGGGATACCTCCCTAACGAGAAAAAGAAAGTGACCAAAGGATTAGACAAATGTTTTAAGCAGTCCATACTCAAAAATTGGAAAAAAAGTCTGGCTATAGATACACTTTATATAAAGCTGCTTGTCTCTACTTGTGACTCTATTTTTCTGGAATATTATGTACCATTAATATTAATGCTGTCATTGCTTTATTCAAAATCTGGCACCTTATGGCACCTAATCTGAGGGGAAATGTTCTCTTTAAGTATCCACTGTACCATACTGTGAATGTTAACATTTTGCTTGATGCACTGGGTGTTCTACAACTATCTCCAAGCAGCTCGATACATTAACATAATCCACACCTACTTTACTTACCTTCCTTGTCACAATCAGCCAATTGATTGCTCTGCTGAACACAAATCTTGCCCTTTAACAGTGCCCATGTGATACATGCATCCCATATGTGTTCAAATGTTTGTGCATCTTGCTGTGCTGTTCAATGTGTCCCTGAAGTTACCAATATCCTTATGTGACTGATGATTCTAAACCTGTGCTTGTAAAAAAAAAGAGCAAACAAGATCATTTACTGGTTCATCTGTTTGAACCTACTGCAGATTTTCCCACAAATACTGGAGAACGTGAGAGAGGATGCCATGTAAAAAGATGTCTGAGCTATCAAATACTGAACTGGCTTATGCTGTATTTAAATTCATCAGCTTTGTGACATTTCTAGCAGCTGTAATGTGTCCTGGACTGCATTAATATTTAGTTGATTGATTTTAGTTCTGCTCTGTAATGTAATGTAAGTGTCCTTGTGTTGTAGATTTACAGGCATATATACTGTTCAAGGCCTATACTGGGCTACTAAGAGGGAATGTATCCAAATTGTTTTATCAGACCAAACAAATTAAAAATAAGTGAAAAAAAAAAGAATCATCACATTGTGAACTGGAATATATTTTATTATGTACAGTTACTGCACATATTAAAGTAATTAATTTTAACTTCAAGACCATTACCCCTCCCAGAGAACTTATCCTTCTTCAGCCCCAGTTTCCCCTCTGATGTAAGTTTCATGTATACAATGTACCAGGTTTGGCTGATAACAACAAAAATCATGCCAACAGCAAGGCCTCCCTAATGTCCAGACAGATCCTTAAAGCAATTTGTGTTATCAGCAGCTTAAATGCTGAGGTTAAATGCTGTGTCTGGGAATTGGGGACCTTACAGGGCATTACATGATGACAGCAGGTTTCTTTGGATAAGGTCAGAAAAGTCCAGAAAGGGCTTTGGCATGAGAATCCAAAATGCTTGGTATGTATTAATGAAGAAACGACTTTTGCTGAGGGCACAATTTAGTCTACGTTTACTGCAATAGGCTATGAGGCCACATATAGGACTGTAAAGTAATGCACTTATTCTCTGGACATGGGATTGCTAACTCAGGTGGATAGTGACCAAAAAAACCTAGAAGACAGTTATGGATATCTCAAATGTTTGTAATTATGTTGGTCCAAGGGATGATGTTGCATGCCATGGATTGACCCACTACTGCCAAGCACACAACAGTACACAAAAGGTGCCTTGTCAATTACGCCAATCACAAAAATAAGCCCAAGACTGGAAAATGACAACATCCACCATGTTAGCAAATGTATTTCACTGATCATCCAGTGAAGGTGACATTTACCCTGGCTTATAAAAGCTCAGGGAGACTGAAGACATACAACAATGGGCCTGCCATGGACACCATACATAACCCTATGTCTCCTAACAAGGAGACATGTTACTATAGATATATATTGAATTCATATATTTGTATATATATATACTTAAATTTATATAATATTTATTTAATTAAACCTCTTTAGAAAATAAAAAGAAGAGACAAAGCAATGTTAGAAGTATTTGGTCAGTCTTGCCTTGCTTGGAGAGGTGTGTGCCCATGGAAGTGTCCATGGTTTCATTTCTGGTTCATTAACAAGTATGAATAAACAACATCTCACAAGAAAGTATACATTTGCAACTCAGTGTTCAATATCAATGATAAAACACACTCATCCATTATTGCTTACACACTTATACAAGTGATGAACATTTCAAGACACAAGCCTTGTGACAACCTACATTAGCAACAAGCAAATTACTGATACCAGAAACAGAATGGGCCCTTGGACACCAAAGAAAAAGTTTAAATTTTGACAATGGGGGCACTATAGGCACTGCCTTCAACCCTTTATAGTATATAGTGATGTATTAAAACAATAAAAAGGAAGCCACATGATCATGTGAAGTGGGGACACTTGGCAACACCAGTCACCTTTTGTTAGATTCTTGTTTATCCTCAGTTGAAGTTGAGACATTGCTGTCATTTTAGCTAGGCATTTGTATATTTTTATTTTCAAGACAAGTCCCTTTCTGCAGCCGTCCCATATAAATAGGGGTCTTTGCCTTGGTCCTGGATGAACTCCTCCTTTTTCTCCCATTCTGCTGGCCAGCCTCCATTGGCGAAATTAGTGGTCTGGGTGGCACCATAACTGCCATAGCCACCACCATAGCCCTGAGGTTGATCTTCACTTTCTTCAGCAAGCTCATCTTCGTGGATGAAACCACATTTCTCTTCAGTGGTTTCCTCTGGCTCAGCCCATGGCTGTTTCTCTCCTGAAGCAAAGATGCCATAGAAAATGACACCACCATAGTGAACAAGGGATGCAATCAGGAAGACATATTGCCACTCTTCTCTGGTCTGTATTGGATGTGAAAAGTACAGTGAATATAGAATGGTTAAACACAATGTACATATTGCAGTTATAGTCTTAATAATTTCTAGAAATGTTTCCTGTTTAATTTCCTCAGTGTGTGACGTGAAGCACAATATGCACAGTGCAGTCATTCAGATTATGTAACCTGTAGCACAGTGTATTGAGCAAAGTAGTCAAGTGTGTGAATTTCAACAGCTCATTGTACAAAGTCCAGTCAGTGTGGTGTACAGTGGTCAGGAGTATGCAATGTACAGTATGTTGCACAAAATGCTACAATCCAGAATATTTGATGTACAGCACATTGTACAGAGTCCAGCAGTCTTGTAGTATGTGACACATAGTACATTATACAAAGTGAAGCAGTTCAGAAAATGTAACACACAGCACAGCATATAAATAGAGCCCCCCCCCCTCCCCCCTTTTCTAACAAAACCAACTTCTCATTGGTGGTAGCATAAATGCCCTTTTTTGTAGTAGTAGAAATTGTAAATGACTTTGTTATATTAGTGGTGAGTTCAGAATTCAGTGTTATATTGGTGGTCATTGTAGACTCCCCTTGTTCACATTGGTGACTACTCCATTTAATTTGTGGTCAGTGCCTCTCCTATGTTCCATAATCATATTAAAACTACAAACCTGGCAAGTGAGAGTGAGCGTTTGCACCACCCTCTGTCTTACTTAATGGAATTATTGCAGTGTGGTAGCAGAATTTGTGGCTTGGCTGCTTAGCAAATTGCATGGACAGGCACAGTTGGCAGTTTTCTGACAAAGGGGCTGGGTGCTGCCATCTTGGCAAGGGCACAATATTTGTTATTCTTATTATAATAAAGTGGTTAACATTTTCTTTGTGGCGAAGCTATGCAATAGAAGAGTACTTAGCTATGCAGTTGATACTGACATCACCATACCTTGTGTTTTGTCATGGCTCCTACAATGAGAGGGCAGACCATGCCTGACAGAGTTCCAACACCATTGGAAATACCCATGAGAATACTGGCATAACGAGGTGCAATGTCCAAATGATTCACATTAAATCCTGAATGGTAGAATAAATAAACATATTAAATATTTTTAATAATACATATCGGATTGGCTTCCATGCACAGCTGCACCACATTTTGCACTCTCCAGTTTTAGTAGATTAACCCCATAGTTACATAGTCAGGTTGAAAAAAAGACACTAATTCAACCAATAAAAAAAAAAAACCCAAAAAAAAAAAAACACACATACACAAGTAGAAAACCTCCATATATAATATCCTATACCCACAGTTGATCCAGAAGGCAAAAAAGCCCCTATAAAGCATGATCTAATTTGCTTCAGTGGGGGAAAAAATTTGTTCCTGATCCCCTATGAGGCAACCAGATATTCCCTGGATCATCTACAACTGGTGTTATTAACTCTAAATATTAACATCCAGTTATATTGTGTGCATTTAGGAATGCATCCAGGCCTTTTTTTTTTTTTAAAACAATCTACTGAGCTGACCAGAACCAGTGCTTGAGGGAACCTATTCCACATTTTTGCAGCTCTTATTGTGAAGAGGCCTTTCTGTATGTGAATATGTATTTCTTTTTCTCCAGATGTAATGCCTCCTTGAAATGACCTGAAAGTGAATAATTCTACACCATGTTCACATTATGTATTTATATATGTTGATCATATTCCCCATTAATGTCCTCTTCTCAAGAGAGAATAAATTAGGTTCAGCTAATCGTTCCTCATAGCTGAGCTCCTCCATGCCCCTTATTTCTAATTTGGTTGCACTTTCTACAGTTTGCCAATATCCTTTTTTGTAAACTGGTTTTCAAAATTGAAAATGCATATTACAGATGAGGTCTTACTAATGATTTGTACACAGCAACATTATGTCTCTCTCTCTGCAGTCTATACCTCTTTAATACAAGAAAGGATTTTGCTCACTTTAGAAACTGCAGCTTGGCATTACATGCTATGATTAAGTTTATGATCTACCAGAACTTCCAGATCCTTCTCCATCACTTCACCCAGCTGTTCTTATACTAGTATGTATGACGTATGCATGTTTTTAGTACCAAGTGCATAACTTTACATTTACAAACATTAAATCTCATTTAGATCTGCAGGTGTGCTTTCCTTTGCTTAATATCCATTACCTTGAGAAAAAATGAGAAACAATGATAACAAATGTACAAATGACCATACATTAGTACAAAAAAAGTATCAAAGTATAAAAATATTGTGGCTTTACATATTGCTCAAAAGCTTATATCTATTTACCACATAAAGTTCAGAAAAGACATAGAAATATCAACTCAATTGTTATTGATAAAACTATTAGGGTCCCATTCAATGTTTAGCCTGTATGGATGAAATCTCAAATTATGGGTTTCATGTTTATCTGGCTAATTTGAGTTTGCACCCCTATTTACTGTGCCCTTGATTTATTTACAAACATGCAGTCCACTTGCGCATGTGCAGAAAAATTAGCTCCATCATTATTGGGCATGCTGTGCTGTAGCATTTTTAGTTTTGTGCTACTCTGTTCCTTTGAATTGTGTAGTTTTATATTTTTTGAGCTGTTAGAAAATAAACCTGTATGGTAGTGTATGCTGACTCATTTGGTTCCTTCCTGAGCTTGAATGCATTATAGATGCTACTAACCCCTCAGTATTCGGCTGGTTGGAATCCTTTGCGGACTGCATAGGCTTGCATAGGTGGTTCTTAAATGCACACACACTCTGAGCTTGTTTGATTTCTGATGGCATAAGAGATCCATATTTTCAGGTAAGAGGTTGTGTTTGTCCATGGTGGAGGGATCAGGTGGAGGAACATCTGTATACTGCATGACTTGACACTTCAATAATTTCTAGCACACTATTATTCCTTCTTATGGTATATTTGACACGTTTGTTTATGTTATATAAGACCGGTACACACTTTATTGAAATTTAGGTGTTATATAGGTATAAGCCTTTGAGCAATATGTAAAGCCACAATATTGGTATACTTTTTTGCACTAATTCATAGTCATTTGTACATTTATTCTCATTTTTTAAGTTTATGGATATTAAGTGAACGAAAGCACACCTGCACATTTAAATAATATCTGCTAGTTTGTATTCCAACTTCTGTACGCTGCTTCCAATTTTGCACTAAGTGCAAAACACTTTTTACTTTTATTTTTCACATTAAACCTCATTTGCCAAATAGTTACATAATTAAATAGTGCATTGAGGTCAGCTTGTAAATTGGAGATTATGTAATTCACTGCATAGTTTAATGTCATCTGCAAAGACTGAAATGGTACTTTTATTCCCAGACTCTGCATTATTTAAAAATATTTTCAAATTACAGGTCCCAACACTGAACCTTGGGGTACACCACTAATAACCTTAGACCATTCAGAGTATGAATCATTATTCACTACTCTCTGAATACAGGTTTTTAGCCAGTTTTCTATCCATTTACAAACCTAATTTGCTAAGCCTGTAAACTTTAATTTACTGATTATCTACATGTGGGGAACTGTCAAACACATTGGTAAAATCCAACTATACTACATCCATAGCCACTGCATTGTCTAAGGTTTTGTTTACCTCTTCATAAAAAGAAATTAGATTTGTTTAACAACTTCTGTCTTTCATGAATTCTGCTAAATACTGCTTAAAATATTATTTCTAGCAGGAACTCTTCTATAAGTATCTTTTTGACTATAGTAATTAAACTAACTAGTCTGTAGTTACTTGGTAAAGACTTTGATCCCATTTAAATATAGGCACCACATTAACTTTATGCCAATCCAATAGTACTATGTCAGTCATTAAATAGGTGTCCGTTTATGAACCAGCGGTAATAGATCGCTGCTTAGTTCTCCGGCATTCTCGGAGAACACAGTTCTCCTGTGAATGCAGTTTATGAAGCAGTTCTCCGAACGAAGGGAGAACGGTCTACAAACTCTGGAAAACGGCTGAATTTACTATAATCTCGCGAGATTACAGTAAAAGATCAGTTTACTAAGCAGAGGTAAATTATCTCTGCTTAGTTTTCGTCCCTCTGATTCTCCAGCTCTGGGCTGAACATTCCAGCTCTTCCAGAGAAGGGCTGAACATATTCTCCTGGGTGTCATAAACTGTGAATGACCAGAGAATAGCTGTGATCCTCTGAATCTCAGCTATTCTGTGTGTCATAAACGGACACCATAGTCTTTAAAAATTAGAAACAATAGCTTAGATATAATAGAGCTCATCTCCTTGAGGACCCTTGGGTGTAAGTCATCTAGTGCAGTTGCTTTGTTCACCTTTATTTTGTCGAAAATTTTTCTGGACCTTTTGGATCAATTTTGAGCCATTGTGGATCATTTGTGGTTATGTCAAAACCATCCCTATTAATGTTTTGAGCTTCCCCATTTTCCTTTATCTATACAGAGCTGAAAAAGGTATTTAACAAAATTTACCTTTTCTATGTCTCCAGTAGCAATATTAAAATGATCTACTAAAGGGCTTACATGCACAGACCTGACTGTTGTACTACTATATCTGAAGAATTTTGGAGGGTTTGTCTTACTCTTCTTGCAACCTGTTGTTCGTTTTCAGTTTTTGTGGCCTTTATTTCCTCTTTATATACTCTGTTATATTCTTTTGAAAGATTGAAACAAAATATACAATCCCCAATGTTTGATTGCTGCAGGCACTGACGTGTTTCCCACCAGGGGCGGACTGACCATTTGGAAACTCAGGCACTGCCCGAGGGCCCGGGGTCAGTAGGGGGCCCCATGAGATGCCCTGGTACCTTTTTCATAGGCTTTTTTGAGTTTGGGCAAGGACACAGGGGCCCCAAGATCCCCTATTGCCCGGGGGCCCCATGAGTTTTCAGTCCGCCCCTGGTTCCCACACTGACAAATTAAGTTTTTCAAACTGCTGTGCAATCACCCTAAAGCAATATTCTCACAGTAATAATACATGTGCCAAATAAATACAATCTAATACTCTCATAAATTCTTTTCATAAACCATTTCCACAAGATTCCTCTGGCTCCTATACTATAGATGTACCAATAGGATTCTTCAGACCTCCACAATTCCCAGAGACACCAGCCAGCCACCTCTGATCCATATTGCTCAGGAAGAACAAAGAGCCATCATTGTGTAGTTTATCTAAAAAAAACTCAACACTTTCTTTGCCAAAAAATAAAAAACAAATGGAAATTGAAATAATTAGCCACTTTAAATGTGCATTGCCCCCTTAAGGGGTAATATCCACAGCATATCCACATAGTCTGGAACTTCACTTCCAGCATGTGTTATCACGTCATGTGGGTCCGCCACGTGGGGGTGAAGCTACCTGATGTAAATGCGCATGTTGAAAGTGAGGTTCCAGACTATAAGGATTTGCAGCTGATATTACCCCTTAAGGGGGCAATGTACTTTTAGGCTCCATGCCAGGGGTGGACTGACCATTTGGAAACGCGAGCACTGCCCGAGGGCCCAGGGTCAGTAGGGGGCCCCATGAGATGCCCCTGGTACCTTTTTCATAGGCTTTTTTGAGTTTGGTCAAGGACACAGGGGCCCCATGATCCCCTATTGCCCGGGGGCCCCATGACTTTTCAGTCCGCCCCTGCTCCATGTACACTCATATAGAGCATTTTTGTACAATGTTTAGGCATGTTTAGGAGTGTTTAGAGTTTTTTCTGCCAGAAATCTGCAACCTTTTTTGTTCGCCTCTAAACATCCTAATGCGCATAGACACATAAGATGACATTGAGTTGCTTCTACAGGCAGAAGCAGCGATTTTTAAGAAAGTGTTCATGTACTCTTAATGTGGCTAATCACTTCCAGTGCACAGTTTTTGTAAGTATATTTCCATTGTTTTCTATTTTTAATGCAAATTAAGCATTTCGTTTTTTTAATATACAACATAATGATATCCCTTTGTTCTACCTGAGCAATATAGATCAGAGGTGGCTAGCTCTGGGAACTGTGGAGGTCTGATGAGTCCTGCTGGTACATCTGGAGGATCCACAGGAATCTTGAAGCCCTTATTAACCACCTGCCCTCCAGAGGATTTGCCCCTCTTCCTGACCAGGCCATTTTTTGTGATATGGCACTGTGTTCTTTTAACTGACAATTGAGTGGTCATGCAACGCTGCAGATAAATTACATTTCTGTCACTTTTTTCCCCACAAATAGAGTTTTCTTTTGGTGGCATTTGATCAACTCTGTAGTTTTTATTTTTTGCGCTATAAACAAAAAAAATCATCAATTTTGAAAAAAAAAACAATATTTTAGACTTTTTCTTATAAAACATATCCAATAAAACATTTTAAAATTAAAATTTCTTCATAAATTTAGGCCAAAATGTATTCTGCAGTGTGTTATGTTGTGCTTAAACTGTGTGCTGTTTTACTAGGTAGACATGCTGCTTTCTAACGCTCTGCTGTGCAGAGAGAGTGAAAGCAGCATGTCCATGCTGCCAGGAGAGAGATCTCTGTTGTTTACACACAGATCTCCCCCCTCTCAGCTTTAGCGGCGATCACTGAGTGCCAGCCAAGAATCGGTGATTGACATCCACTGCAACCAATGCCAGCCCGGGTATGACCCTACCTGGAACTACAAAATCAGGTGTTTATATGTGATTTTGCACAGAGTGGCCGCCCTGTAGCAGTATTCTACTATTGGGCGGTGGGTTAACGGAGAAGGTGCAGTTTGACCTATTGATAATCATACAGTAGGTCATATTATTGGTGAGCAGATGGTGAAAATGGGGACGAATGGGAAGGTGAAGAATATAGAAATTTCACACAACACAGAGGACTGTGGTTGATGGCACCTGTAATTTGATACGTAAATGCATGTTACTGTGAATTTTATGAACTGATTTGAATTTTAATGTGGAAGAATGTGAACATATAGTGCATAAATAAGAGTTTGATGAACTGCAATTTATAACAGAGAGGATTTTTAAGCAAGTTATATATAAACGCACGTTTTCAGGAATTTCTGTGGAAATGGTTCAAGGACATTCAGCGGGCTACTCACCCACCGTACCCCGCAATGCACTGCGCTCTCACAGTGTATTGTGAGAGCCATGAATGGTCAAAGCAATGCACCTGACCTCACCACTGGCTCCGCCCAATTGTTTACATCTGACTGGCAAATGTCACATTGCAGCAAGTGTTTGGCAGGTGCAGATGGGTCTGTGTTTTTTTTTTTTTTTTGATTTTGGGCGAGTCCTCATTGCCATGACAACACTGGAGGCTGTGACTTATGATAGATTACAATGATGAAACCATTTTTTTTTTAATTACAGGACTTGTCAAAAACTGTTGTTTTTGTTCAATTAAATTAATTTTTCAAAAGTCTGGAGTCTTTTTTTTTTTTTAAATGTAACCCTTTAGTGAATGGGTAGGAGTACAAGTACCCCTTACCCATTCACAAGGGGGGAGGCAGAATCAAGTGTCCCCTTATTTAAAGGGGTACCCTGATGCTAATGAGCCCCCCTGCCTGCAGACCCCCACAACCAGTGGGCCAGGGTCATGGGGAAGAGGTCCTTGTCCCCATCGGCATGGGGACACTGTCTCCATGCTTAGGGCATGTGGCATAGCAAACCGCAGGGAGGGGGGCACTCTATCACCTCCCCTTTCCTGCCCTGCCAGGCCTGTACTTGGATCAAGGGTCTGTTAGAAATCTAGCGGGGATCCAATGCTTTCCCCCCCATTTTTGAGGGGTGGGGTTCCCCTTAAAAGTCACGCCAGGCCTAAAGGGCCTGGAATGGCTTTTAGGGGGATCCCCACACACATTCGCTCCCCATTTTTAGAGGTGGGGTTCCCCTTAAAAGTCACACCAGGTCTTAAGGGCTTGGTATGGCTTTTAGGGGGAACCCCACACACTTAAAAAAAAAAACAACAATTACTGTGAGGTCCCTCCTAACCTTCCTACCTGACCTAAAGGGTCTGGATTGGGGGGGGGGGGGGAACCCCATGCTGTTTTTTTTTTTTAAATAAAAATCTCATTTAAAAAAAAAAAATATTATTCCTGCTGCAGCAAGTTCTATACATTGTACAGATGTGCAACTTTGCAGGTAGTTTAATGGGAACCCCCAGGCATGATATTTAACCAATTGCCGCCTGGCCTATAGCCAGATGGCGGCCGGGCAAACAGCTCGTCCCTCCGGGTGGACACCTGCAGGCCGCGCAGTGGCACGATCTGTCACCGGCCACGTACCTCGGACGATGACAGACCTGTGTACCGGCCCCATTGCCAGTACCATGTGACCTGCTGTGACCAATCACAGTAGGTCTCATGACAGTTGTATACAATGGATGGCTTCCTTTCATGCCATCCATTGTATACAAGTGTGTCTAGCTGTGAATGGTTACAGCGATCACATGCACAAGCTGGACCAATCACAGCCCAGCTGTGTCATGTGATCAGCTGTGGTCAAATCATAGCTAAGCACAAAAAAAAAAACCGTGAATGAATCAATTTCATTCAGGTAAATGCTTGCTTATAGCAAAGTAATTCTTTGCTATAAGCAAATTGTGTAAAAAAAAAAAAAAAAATACTGATCACTTTGGTCATAGGAAAATATGAAAAAAAAACTTAAAAAGAGAAAAAAATGTAATAAAAAAAATATATTTAAAAAAATTATCAATTTTTTTTATTGTCGTACTGTCAGCAGTCAGTGCCCCTGATCACCGCCATGCCAGTTATATGATGACACTGTACTGTACTGGTGACAGTATGTACAAAAAAATAGTGAAAATCAGTTTTTTAATTTCTGAAAAATTATGACAAAAAAATTACAACTTCAAAAAACTTGCCATGCCTCTTATGAAATACGTCAGACTGTCTACTTTGCAAAAAGGGGTCATTTGGGGGATATCTGTACTATTCTGACATTCTTGGACCTCAAGAAATTAGATTGGCCGTCAGTACTTCAGGATTGATCAATTATCAGATATATCCCATAGTCTGTGAACTCCATAACTTTCCTACAGACTAAATAATACATCCTAATTTGGGGTTTTTTCACCAAACAAATGTAGTAGAATACATTTGGGCCTAAATTTATGAAGAACAATTATTTATTTGCAAACTTTTATAACAGAAACAAAGAAAAACGTGTTTGTTTTTTTCAAACGTTTTGGTCTTTTTTTGTTAATTTAGCAAAAAATAAAAACCTCAGTGGTGATTAAATACCACCAAAAGAAAGCTCTAATTGTGTGAAGAAAATGATAAAATTTTGGTTTGGGTACAATGTTGTAGAACCACGCAATTGTCATTCAAAGTGTGAGAGCGCTGAAACCTGAAAATTGGCCTGGGCAGGAAGGGGGTAAAAGTGCCCGGTATGGAAGCGGTTAATTGAATTTTTCATTTTTTTTTTCACTTTAAGCAATGCAAAATGAATGCCCCTTAAAAAACAGCACTTTTTGACTTTTTTTTCACTAGTTCATGTCCCTCAGGGCAGTACCCGTGTCCCCAAACCCCTTTTATGGCCAATACCTTGCCTATAAGCCTTCAAAATGGGCACTTTTGAATTTACAAGTTCGAGTTCCATAGACTTGCAGTGAATTTGAAGTTCGCAGTCGAACATTCATTAGGTTTAAACGTTCCGACTGCAAACCAAACATGGGGGTGTTTGGCCCATTACTAAGATTATTGCTTTAGGGTGAATGGAGATTGTAAAGCAGTTAGCTTGAAAAACTATATTCTTTGTACCTTTTAAATGAGGATAGTGTTTCTTTCATTTTTATATATTTATTAATGTTCTTTTCTTAATATTTATAGCTATTTTAACTATAAATTCATTTATCTCATATTGCAGATATTATTCAATCAATAAATAAATTATTTAAAGTAAGGTAATTAAATCTGTTTTTCATCCTTCAACACTGTATGCAGTTCTGCTAATGAAAGTCTAGTTTCTAGGATATGTTCTTGCCTGTATGTTAACACCCTATAGACTTGAATGGATTGTAGTTCTATTTTAGGAGCAATATTCAAGTATATGGAACATTACTGCACAGACACCTTCCAGATTTGTTGATACTTAGTATGATGCATTCTGCCCTCTACCAATGTTTTCACTGGCTACCAAACAACCCCAAAGCAGATCCACATCCATTCTGTGCCAGTTGGAAAGGTGTTCCTTTCTTCAAATGTATATCCTTTTCTACTAAATATATTTTAACTAGATTGTATCTAAAGCATTCATTTTTGTCTTACAAGACCACAACAAGTCATTGCAAAATGCCACTAGCTTATATAAGTGTTTTCTTGCATAATTTACACATTGACATGATAAAATTGGATATAAAGCTGCCTTCTTTTTACAGTGTTCATCTGCTTTTATTTAACTTCATTTTTCTGATCCTCAGTGTGACGCTTACATATAAGTCTTTATTTGATTTGGATTAAAGTCTAACGATTGAGTCAATTAATATATGGGACCTTCAAAAAATAAGAAAAAGTGGGATCGAACTTTTGTACATGCCACATTTAATTTTTTTTTCAAGTTCCTATTTTAGTAAATACTGTAAACAGTCACTAAGCATTTAAATACGTAGGAAAACAAATCATGTTTAAGTTTGTTCCTGCAAAGACTGTTCATTTCTTTTTACTGAGAGCATCAAGAAAAACATATAATTCAACAAGGGGTGTTGAGACTTTGCATAATACTGCATTAAATGAATTAGATGGGTGCATACATCACAGTGGAAATCGATTGGCCTTATTCAGTATGGCAAAGTGTGATCCAATAATGCAATAAAATACAATAATCTATAGAATTTACCTTGCATGATTGACTGCAGTAACCCACAATTGAATTGGTTGCTATGACTGACTGCTATTTGTGTATAAGGACCCTCACTACTTTATTGAATATGCTTAAGTATTTCACTTTGTGACTTTTTTAACTGGAAAATTAAATTTTACATTATTATTCGATATTTATACAAGGTTAATGACTTACCTGATATAGCAAATCCACTGAAGCCCACAGCTAGAACAAGGAAAGAAATGGCTACTCCTCTGGAGTGTGAATATCCGACAACTAGAAGAAGAGTTGCCTCCATACCAAAACCTACAAAACAAAATATTATATATAAGAATTACCAGTTATCCTTTAATGTTGTTTGATTTAAATTTATTTCAAGAGTATCTGCCATATGTTTGCATATTCAATGCCTTTTCTTATAAGCTAAACCCCTGACTGAAAGAAAAAAATAGTCTTCACTCAGGTTTACATATTGTCAGCAATTAAAACTGTGTTTGAATATGCCAACTATTCAATTACCAAACTACTATATATAATGACCTTTGAAAAATGTGCCTCATTTGTAGATACAAACCCCATTCTTCTTTCTGTTGATTTCCAAAGATCAGGACAATCTTAATGCTTGATATTAAAGTTTTTTGATATCCCTAAGTTAACTAGTTAAGGCTGCAGTCTTAAAACTAATGGATTTTCCAAAAAAAAAAAGGACTGCTATGTCCCAAACTTCACTGTTAACCTACATTGAAAAGACCATGTCATGCCCAGCTTCAGTATTGATTGCTTTTACCATCAATACATACCTCCACAGTTCATCATTTTACGGACGTTGGTTGTAGACATTATTCTTTTGGTACGTAGGAAGTCAGCTATCTGCCCTCCAATGGGAACAATGATTGTCATTACCAAGTGGGGTAGTGCAGAGAGAAGACCAACCTGTAAGACAAATATAAAACAAAGGATCATGAAAAAAGGAAAGAATGTTTAGTGCAATAAAGTAAAGTCAGTTGTTGAATTTTTTTTTCTGTTATGTGTGTGCTCCTAATGAACACCATACCTAGTTCTTTGGCATGGTTTAATTATATTTACAATAGAGGATAAGTGCACCTAAGTTATAACCCCTTATTAGACCTTATACCCCTTTTCTCTATTGCAATCAGCTTTTTGGCTGTGGAGCCCATCCAGAGCCACAGGAGCCATCTGGCTACATGCAGATTAGACAGAGAAGACAGCCTGACATATGTACCAAGTGAGGATGGGAACCACCAAAGACAATGGTATCAGTCTGCTAGCATATGTGCCAAGGTGTTGTGGGGACTTCCATTTTATTCTGTAGTACTTCCTGTCATCATCACAGCAGGTTGCAAACTTGATTCTGAGTCTAACCAGAACCTGGCCATTGTCAGTATCATCTTAAGTGTACCTATTCTTTAATGACACATCTCATTGTATTTGGATTGCAATGGATGCAAAATGAGCAAGGATCTCCCTGATAAGGCAGGGGTAGGCAAACTGCATCCCTCCAGCTGTTGTAGAACTGCAAGTCCCATCCTGCCTCTGCCTCTGGGAGTCAGGCTTGCAATGGTCAGTCTTCCCATTATGCTGCTGTCATCTTGCAATGCTTCATGGGACATGTAGTTCCACAACAGCTGGGGGGGCTGAAGTTACCCACCCCTGTTGATAAGTGGACCGTCGCCCAGATCCACAGTTAAACTTGTTAATTTGCTTTCTGTAGCGCTCAGTCTACAATAATTTACACTGCAGTATGTCTCCTAAACTGAGATCAACAAGGACAGCATAAGCAACTCTCTAGATGTGAAGCCATATTGGCTAGCTAGAATCACATGACTGTAAATGGGCTGGGCTTAGCTAACACAAGCAGAGGCTGCTCTGTTTCTTCTGCAATTACATGTACTTTCTGAGAATGAAGTGCTTTATTGAAGTCACAGTTCAATATCTACCTTGGATCCTGGCACTTTAGACATTGACCTAAGGGGTGTATGATGTTTACCACAAATGTATAAATTTTTTTAGTATATTTCAACAACTCAAAATTACATCACCACAAGTTGCAATGCTGTAGGAGGAAGTATATCACTTGATTACTTGTTGATAGCAGTTTTATCAATAATATCCTCAGCTAACCCTGTTAAACTTGCTTTTAGGCTGTGTTTTATGGCTTTAATGTTCTTTACTAAGGTTTTATTCAAAACCACATGACAACAAAATTATTTATTTACAGAGAATATTGATCCCAACTCGATTTAGAAAGTTAATAATATAGTACCTCCAGAAAGAACACCATACCTTACTGATCTCAAAGCCAAACACTTCCTCAAAATAGGCTGGCTGGCTAATGAGCAAGAGATAGAATGTCCAACTGCGGCAAAAATTGGCAACGATGATTGCGTACACTGGCATAGAGGTGAAAAATTTCCGCCAAGGTGCCTTAAATTTCTGCAAAGAGATTATTGAATATATAACATTATATAAACTTAGTTTAACTACATTCTCCAAATATGCATACAGTATATTTACATTTGTAACTTGATGTACTATATATGCATCCTTCCAAGACTAGCACAAGCAATACTACCGCTGATTCTGATGGTAATGCCATTCCTTAGTGAGCACTTTCATCTTCGTCCAGTCTTAATCCTGGTTCAATGACTGACTAGCCCAGAATAAGGCAACTCCTGTGCGTGCACACAGGAGTTATTCCATCCTGGCACCAAGGCATTCCAAGAATGTACACTGAACTGCACATGCATACAGTTTGCAAGCAGGCAATTCCAACACCACAAGAAATGCAAAAGAAAAGGACAGCTAAGATAGACCATGAGAGACACATAGCAGAGGAGAGTAAAAAAAAAAATACCAAAGAATTCTATATATATATTAATAGTATTAAATAAACTATTCTCCTTAGTTTTTACTAAAGAAAAGGAGGGGTTTAATAATCATGACTGTAGCATTGGGGAGAATGATGCAATAACAGAGAATCAACATGGGTTCATGAAACAGGGATAGTGTCCAGCATACATAGCAAGACCACAGATATGAGTGAGATAGGGGGGCTCCAACCACCACCCCCCCCCCTCCCCAGAACAGCAAAGGTGCAGAGCAGCAGCTAGTGCTGACAACTATTCTGGGCACCTGAAGCAGGAGCAGCTCCGTTGCCTGTATATTCAGAGTCAAGGAGGCTGCTCCTCCCTAGTTCCAGTCACATGAACCAGCTGAGGGATGACCTTACTCTGAACTGTCCTTTTCTATTAAGCGTGTTTTATGGAGGGGAAGGGTCTGTACTGGAGGTGAAAGGACTGTACTTGAGGGGAGAGCTGTACCAAAGGCGGAGAGCTGTACTTGGGGGAGGAGAGCTGCTGTGCTGTGGAATCTATACTAGTGTGGGGAGGGAGATTGCACTAGAGGGAAATTTTGATTTGGGGCGGTAGGTAATTGTTTCCTGTACTCTGTCTGCTGACTTGTGCATCTCTGAACTATGTATGTTACACACTCCTGACCTCTGTAATCTGTACTTTACATACTCCTTTCCCTGCTTTCTGTGTCTAGTGCACTCCTGGCCACTGTACTCTCTGCTTTACTTGCTCCTGACTTCTGTACTCTACACATTAACACTCTTGACCTCTGCTGTCTGTGTCTGCTCTCCTGACCCCTGCATTCTGTGTGTTACTTATACCTGACTCCTGCATTCTGTGTGTTATGCACCCCTGAGTCCTGACCCCTGTAATCTGTGTGTTATTCACTCTTGCCCCCTTCCCTGTGTGCAATATGTATTCTGTACATTATGCACACCTGTACCCTGTACTTTGTGCGATATGCAACACTAGATCTCTGCAATCTATGCATTATACACTACTGAGCCCTGCACTCTATTTCTTAAACACTACTGACCCCTGTGATTTGTGTGATATGCAGCAAGGTTTAAGCCCCTTCCACTGTTAGAGTTCTTTGGCAACATGTACAATTCACTGCTTCATACACAGGTTGGGTGACCTAAAGTTTACCCCCTTCCCCATGAAAAAAATTATCTACAGCCCTGGTACATAGCAAGCTTTTATGAAGTGGTAAGTTAAAATCTAACAGGTACATTAGTATAGAAAAGAAAAAAATACAATGGGATCACTAAAATGAAAACTGGGCACAACACTTATGTTAAGGGAGAGCTGGAAGTAGCAAACCACTTAAACAATTACTTTTGTTCAGTCTTCTCAGAAATAAATTATACTAACAATAAAAAGTTGGAAAATCATATTGGTTCTAGTAATGATAGTTCATTTTTAGGATTTCTGGAGACAGTAGTAGCAGAGAAACTGGCTCAGTTAAAGATTAATAAAGCAAATTTTATGGTATAGTTCATAGATAGAGGCCCCCAACTAGGAATGATGCTCTGCAGGACCTGGTAATCTCAAACCATGCAGAGCTTATTACTAATGTCCATATAAAAGAACATCTAGGTAGCAGTGACCATGACATGATTTCATTTATTGTTACAAGAAACAACAAGCACAAACGGGAAAAATAAAAACACTCAACTTTAGGAGAGCTAATTTTCCAAGGATAAAAGCTGCTCTCCAAGACTTAGACTGGGAGGAAATATTGGCATTGATGAACACAACACAGAAATGGGAGTTCTTCAAAAAGACTGTATGTGAACACACTGCAAAATATATTACCATGGGCAACAAGTTTAAAGGACTAAAAATCAAGCCTATGTAGCTTTATGGCCAAAGTTAAAAAGCTATAAATAATAAGAAAAGAGCTTTTATAAAATATGCTATCATCCTTTAAGCACAACAAAGAATATAACAGAATATGTAAAAAGGAAACCAAAAATTGAAAACGAAATAAAGATTGCAAAAAATATCATGACAAACCTTAAAAAGTTCTTCAAATATATTAACAGCAAAAAGGTGAGGTCTGAGCATGTAGGCCCTTTACAAAATAATCTAGAGCGGGTGATTGGGAACAAAGAAGGCAAATTTATTAAATACCTTTTTCAGCTCTGTGTATACAAAGGAGCATGAGGAAGCTCTTGTCCATAATGGGCATGGTATTGACACAGCCCCAGATGATCCACATTGGCTGACAATTGATATGATCCAGAAATATTTAGACAGAATAAAGGTGAGTAAAGCACCTGGACTGGATGGCACACACCCACAGGTCCTTAAAAAATTGAGCTCTGTCATTTCAAAGCCATTGTTTCTAATTTTTAGGGACTCTTTAATGACTGGCATAGTACCACTGGATTAGCGTAAGGCCAATGTGGTGCCTATATTTAAAAAGGGATCAAAATCTTTACCAAGTAATTATAGACGTGTTAGTTTAACTTCTATAGTTGGGAAGATACTGGAGAGTTTAAAAAAAGACCACATAGATGAGTTCTTGCTTGAAAAAAAATATTTTAACCTCCCTAGCGGTCTGATTATGTCCAAATTTCTGTGCTCTAAGTGGTACTTTTTTTGCATGGAAATATGTATTTTTTTTTTATTTGTAGACCTGTAATTTTTAGGAATAACTCAGTGAAATCTGTCCGAACAAGAGTCTAATAAACATCCCGGGTATGTTAAAATTTGAAACACGAAATCATAAATTATAATTTAATAAATAATCATAAAAAATAATAATATAATAATAAATGTAATTAAATAATATAATCAAACCAAAAACACTGAAATTTGAAATATAGCACCATGTTCGCACATCCCTGAGCAAAAGTCGCAAAACGTTTTCAGTGTCTGATGACAAATTTCCCCACGAATCATTATCACTCAATTCTGCAAGTGGTTCTAATTTACTATCGCTGTTCTCTAGCTGGTCTAAAGCCGCTTTTGACCTAAAGGGACACTTTTTGGATGCCATGGACGTTTCTCAGTTTCCAGGCAGAAAGAACAGTAAAAATGTAGGCAGGGCACAGGACAAAGCACTCGGGACAAAATGTATGTGAAATGGTTTGATACAGTAATGTTTTACTATGTGATTTTAGTGAATTTAGTGAATGTCACTTTTACAACTTTCAAATTTCCCACCAGTTCCGTCCCCCGTACGTCCCGACATCGCATGGGACGGAACCCAGAAGACAGATGCCGGCATCGGCCGGAGGACATTACAGGGGACACTTCAGAAGGGACATCGAGGGAGCACAGGACAAGGTAAGTGCATAAGAGATCCCGGAGCAGTGCTGTGCAAGGTATTCCCAAGTGTAGCCCGGGGATACCACTTGTGGTGCTGAAACTTTACCCCGAGCTACACTCGGGAATACCACCAGGGAAGTTAAGCAACAGACAGCATGGATTCGTGAAAGACAGAAATTGTCAAACAAATCTGATTTCTTTTTATGAAGAGGAGATCAAAACCTTGGACAGAGGAGTGGCGGTGGACGTGGCAAAAAAGCGTTTGACACAGTTCCCCACACATGGCTAATGTGTAAGGTAAAGTCTACAGGCATGGAAAAATCCGTATGTAAATGGAAGGAAAACTGGCTAAAAGATCGTATTCAGAAAGTAGTGGCTAATGATTCATACTCTGAATGTTCTAGGGTTGTCAGTGGTGTACCCCAAGGTTCAGTGTTGGGACCCTTACTTTTTAATATATTCATAAATGATATAGGGTCTGGGATTAAAAATACCATTTCAGTCTTTGCAGATGACACCAAGCTGTGCAGTGGAATAACGTCCTTACAGGATGTCTCCAATTTACAAGCCAACCTCAATGCACTGTTTAATTGGGCAACTATGTGGCAAATGAGGTTTAATGTTGATAAATGTAAGGTTATGCACTTGGGGCTAAGAATATGCATGCATCATACATACTAGGGGGGGTATAACTGGTGGAACCAATGGTGGAGAAGGATCTGGGAGTTCTAGTAGATCATAATAGCATGCCAAGCTGCGGTTTCTAAAGTGAGCAAAATCCTCTCTTGTGTTAAACGCTTTCCAGCCACCCTAAAGCAGATATACGTGAGTTTGCATTTCCGGGAGGGGGCACATGTGAGCCACAGATGCGCCCTATCTGTGCCGCCATTCGTGGCTGCGGCTGTCAATCGGGTGATTACCTGCCGGCGCCCAGTGATTACCGAGCATCTCCCTGTCAGTTTGGACACACTGCTCTGGATGGCTGTGCATAGCACAGCCATCCAGAGCAGTGTGATCACAGTGAAGCACACAGACACCGCCCCCCCAGTAAAACACTCCCTGCACACAGTTAACCCTTTGATCACCCCTCATGTTAACCCCTTCCTGCCCAGTGCCATTAGTAAAGTGTCAGTGCTTTTTTTAAGCACTGATCACTGTATTGGTGTTACTGGGGATGTCAGTGATACTAAGTCAGTTCCTCCCATTGTCAGAACGTCCGCCGCAGTCCCTCAGTCCTGCTATAAGTCCCTAATCGCTGTCATTATTAGTAGAAAAAAAATTAAAAAAATTCCAGAATCTTTACCGCCATTTGTAAACGCTATAACTTTCACATAAACCAATTAATTTACACGTATTGGGATTTTTTTAGCAAAGACATAGCAGAATACATTTTTGCCTAAATTTATGACAAAATTAGATTTTTTAACATTTTTTACTGGGCATTTTTAATAGCAAAAAGTAAAAAATATTGTTTTTTTTTCTCAAAATTGCCAGTCTTTTTTTTTTATAGCGCAAAAAATAAAAACCGCACAGGCAATTACATACCATCAAAAGAAAGCTCAATTTGTGGGAAAAAAAGGACATAAATTTCATTTGGATGCAGCATTGCATGACCGTGCAATTGTCAGTTAAAGTAACACAGCGACGTAACACAAAAAAATTACCTGGTCAGGAAGAGGGGTAAATCCTCAGGAGGGCAAGTGGTTAAAAGTGGCATAGACTCCAAAGAGAGAGAAATATCATATTACCCCTGTACAAATTATTAGTAAAACCTCATCTGGAATATGCAGTTCAGTTTTGGGCATCAATTCACAAAAAGAATATTGAGGAACTGGAGAACCAAACTGATAAGCGGCATGGAGGAGCTCAGCTATGAGGAAAGATTAAAGGAATTGAATTTATTCTCTCTTGAGAAGAGGAGATTAAGGGGGATATGATCAACATGTATAAATACATCAGTGGTTCATATAGTGAACTCAGAGTTATTCATCCTGAGGTCGTCACAAAGAACAAGGGGGCACTCTTTACATCTGGAAGAAAAGACATTTAATCCCCAAATACGGAAACGTTTCTGCACAGTAAAAGCTGTGAAAATGTGGAATAGACTCCCTCAAGATTTGGTTCTGGCCAGCTCAGTATATTTCTTTAAAAAAGGCCTTGATTCTCTCTTAGATGCACATAATATATCTGGATACTAATATTTACAGGAAAAGTTGATCCAGGTAATATCCGATTGCCTCTTGAGGGATCAGGAAGGACTTTTTTCCCCTGCACGAGCAAATTGGATCATGCTTTGCTGGGGATTTTTTTTTATCTTCCCCTGGATGAACTGTGCGTATAGGACTATAACTTTTTTTAAGGTTGAACTAGATGGACGTTTGTCTTTTTTTCAGCCAGAGTAACTATGTAACTATGTAACAATGGGCCCTGATGGTATTCATCCCAGAGTTCTAAAAGAACTTCAAGGTACAGTTGTTAGACCATTAAATTATCTTTTTAATCAATCTCTTCTAAGAGGAGAAGTTTCCCATGACTGGCTTACAGCTAACATTGTGCCTATCCACAAGAAGGGCAGCAAGTTAGAAGCTGGCAATTACAGGCCAGTGATTTTAACATCAGTTGTAGTCAAGTTAATGGAATCACACCTGAAAAGAAGGATCACTTAAAAACACACAACTTGCTGGATCCAAAGCAGCATGGCTTTACTGAGGGCAGATCTGGAGGTGTCTGTAACATGTAACATGATTTGGTACTACTGGAAGATTAGTAAAAGAAAGTGGAAATTGCAGTTCAATGTTTCTAAATCTAAAATAATGCACCTAGGGAAAAGAATCCCTTGAGAGAGTACAACATTAGGGGTACAGTGCTGGCCAGCACTTTAGAGGAAAAGGACTTGGGGTACTTATTTCAGATGATTGCAAAATGAGCAAACAACGTGGCCAGGCAGTGGGGAAAGCAAATAGAATTTTAGGATGCATCACTAGAGGGGTCACCAGCAGGAGGAAGAAGATCCTGATTCCCCTATATAGATCTTTAGTTAGACCTCATTTAGAATACTGTGTCCTGATCTGGAGGCCCCACTTACAAAAAGATATTGATAAAATAGAATGAGTCCAGAGATGGGTAACAAAAATGGTGAAAGTTCTGGGGGATAAAACATGAAGAGTGACTTCAGGAACATAACATGTACATTCTGGAGGAAAGAAGTGAAAGGGGAGACAAGACTGAAACCTTTAAATACATCAAGGGGATAAATAAGGTTCAGGAGGGCAGTATTTTCACCATGAAACCAAAATAAAGAACACGAGGATATGACCTTAGACTAACTGGAGGAAAGCTCAAAACTAATCTCAGAAAGCTGGAATAAACTTCCAGCAAAGGTAGTGAACCAGCTAACAGTAAAAAGCTTCAAACAAGCATAGATCTATACTCAGACAAAAAAGTTAACAAAAAAAAAAAAAAAAACACACATCCCCTCTTATGGCTGATTGGTGTTTTTTTAGGTATGATTTTTCAGTTATTTCATAAAAGCATGCCTGAAAAAGGAAACAAAGTGTTTTCAAAAACTTGTTCCTAAAATTATATTCAGCCACATGAAAGGTATTGCCTACTGTTGCTTTCCTTTAGCATAATAGAAAAAGAAAATGTAGCTTACCGCCAATGGGTTCATGAAACCTGTGCTTTCTCCAATACTCTCCTCAATGTATCTTCTCTCTTCTTCTGATATTGTGGGATGTTGTGCTGGACTCTCATAGGAGACAAGAATCCAGAACATGTACCAGAAAATACCAAAGCTCCCTGTGGATCAGAAAATGATTTCTTTAAAATATCTATTGATCCATTATGGTAGCTGGACATTTACAATAGAGACACTTAACAATACAGGTTGGCATACTAACAGCTTGTGATCCTATGCGCTCTGTAGATTTTTCTCCTACTACTTTTCTCTTGGAATAAGGATAGACCATCATCAAATAAAAGAAAGGAAAAATCAAAAACAGGGAAATAACCATTTTTCCTAATAGTGGCCTGTCAAAATTTTTACGCTGACAATTACCTATGAATATTTGAAAGTGTATATAGGTGGGGTTATCACATTGAGAGCTGAGTGGCCACCTTAAAACGTTACACAGATCCAGACCAGAATACAATTCTATAGCTTTTCTTGTGACGCTGAAAGTGCATCTATTGTATAGGCAAAAATATTTTCAGTATATTTCTGCAATTATTCACGTCTCCATGTTTTATCACTTTTGTTTTAAAGAGAGTTAGATAGCAACTCTAAAATGTGTCTGTACAAACATTATATTCAGTCTAGAGCAGGGGTGGACTGACAACTCATGGGGCCCCCGGGCAATAAGAGATAATGGGGCCCCCTATGTCTCTGCCTGCACAAAGCCACACCCATACAACACCCCGCCTACATATTGCAGCTCAGCTGCATAGAAAGGGCATTAAAAATCATTTAAAAAAATAATAAAACAACGTCATGGGATCCCCCTCCATTCATACCAAGCCCTTTGGGTCTGATATGGGTTTTGAGGGGAACCCCCACGCCAAAATAAAAAAACATGGCATGGGGTCCCCCCCAAGATCCGTACCAGACCCTTATCCAAGCATGCAGCCCGTCAGGTCAGGAAAGGGGGGGGGGGGGGGGGGACGAGCGATCGTGATTGACGTTGGATCTACTTTGGGGGACATTCTTTTATTTTTCTTCTTTTAATAAAGAACTGGCCAAAGACTGTCTCCTGTCTTTTTTTATGCTACACTTTTTTTTTTGTGAATGGATAACGGTACCATGTACCCCATACTCATTCACAGAGGGGGGGGGGGTGGGATCTGGGGGCCCTCTTGTTAAAGGGGCTTTCAGATTCCGATAAGCCCCCCGCCCACAGACCCCCACAACCACAGCCCAGGGTTGTGGGGAAGAGGCCGTTGTCCCTATCAACATGGGCACAAGGTGCTTTGGGGGGGAGCCCCTCCACCCCAAAGCACCCCCCCATGTGGAGGGCATGTGGCCCTGCTGGGCTGCATTTTTGGATAAGGGTCTGGTATGGATTTTGGAGGGACCCCCACACCACTTTTTTAATGTTGGCATGGAGGTTCCCCTCAATATCCATACCAGATCCAAAGGGCTTGGTATGAATGAAGGGGGGACTCCACGCCATTTTGTAATTATTTTTTTAATTGCCGGCAATTCTTTCTTTTTAATTCAGCTGTCATTGGGGAACCCCACTGACAGCTGAAACATTAACGCATGGTTTTCATTGCTAAAATACAGCATGACTTGATAAAATAACTCATGCGGTATTTTAGTAGTGTTTTTTGTGCATTCAGGTGTTTTTTTTCTTAAAATGCTATGTGGTATCCTACCGCATACTCGGATGCGGTAAGATACCGCTTAGTGAATTGTGCCCAGTGAGCCTCTCACCGGGCCCCCTACTGACCCCAGGTCTTCGGGCAATGCCCAAATGGTCAGTTTGCCCTTGGTCTAGAGTCACACCTAATCGCTGAAGTGTGGTCTATTAAAGCACATGTATTTGTGGGTGTTAATGTGCACTGTGTTGGGCTAATTTAAAATAAATGGGCTTGCACACATCTCAGTGGACCAGAAATCAGAGCTGCACCTTGACAGCACACCACACTGGTGGCTGCACTTTCGTCAGCAAGATGCACTGGAATGCCATTGGGAAAGAATGACACTTCACATCATCGTAAGCAGCGTGTGCACTGCATGTTACTGGAACGTGCACATTCCAGCAAAGCAATAATGTAAATGGCACACCAGACTAATAAAAGTGTTGTTTATATAGTTAGAAATAGTCATTAGCTCCACCTATCCTCACTTAAAAAACTGTGACCCTTGTCTGAAAATATGCAATTTGGGTTCAAAGGGGCACAATTTGTCACATGATGGGTGGCACCTACCTGTAATCCCAAGAAGTCACCCTCAGTGACTCCTTATATATTTATATTTTAAAGCACAGAGTATGTAATTGTACACTCCTGTTTTTTTTTTGTCGTGATGCTGTAACTTACCATAGACATAGAACACTGAGCTCCATCCCGTATACTGTACTAAGACCCCAGCCAAAGGCATGGCCACCACAGCTCCAGCATAGGAACCTAGAACACCATGACAATAGATAGAAACATTTAATACCAGATCTTCTACAAAATCTTTTCATGTGCTTATACTGTATGTGATAAAAACACAATTACTGGCTCCTCAAATTGCTCTTTGGTGCAATAGAGCAGGGGTCTCCAAACTGCGTCCCAAGGCTGGATATGGCCCCATTTATCTGGCCCTTGGGGCACTATTCCTCCCACTGAGACCAACAATGGGGCAGAACTTCCTCTATTGAAACCAATGATGGTGTACTATTCTTCCCACTAGAACCAATGATGGTGTACTATTCTTCCAACTAGAACCAATGATGGTGTATTATTCTTCCCACTAATACCAACCCTGAGGCCATGTTTATTCTCACTGATGCTGTGACCAGGACATTTTCTATCCTCACTGTCCCTAATCTGGCCCTCCTACAGTCTGAAGGACCATATACTGGCCCTTTGTCTGAAAAGTTTGGAGACCCCTGCAATAGAGGATTATTGTGTAGTGGGCAATCGGCTCTATTACTATAGTAAAAAAGAGAAACATTCCCAAGGGCAAAGACAGCAGAATAAATGATAAACAAATAAATAAATAAATAAATAACCAACCAACCATTCCATACACTATACAAAATAAAAAATAAATGAGTAAATTAGTAAATAAAGATTTGGCTTTATATATACAGTATATACTGTACTGTCATGTTTCACATGACTGTCATATGCCTTTAAGTGTTCTCTATATCTTGTCTCTGCTCCTCCCTTTCCTTTGGTTTAGTTAATGCTGTATAGATAGCCCACTCCTTTTCCAAGAAATGCATTGCAGCTTCTAGCTTCATGTCATGAAGCAGGTCACATTATGATCTTTTGACCTATCAGATGTTCATTGTTGTAAGATTATTATGGAATAAACTTCACAAGATCAACTAGATGTCTTCTGAATTAAGTCACTGCCTGTGATATTCAACTGAAATTGGAGTTATCGCTATCTCATCATCAACTGTAAGTTACAGAGATCACACTTTCAATGCTTAGATTGGAGAGACAGAACATGTACCCAAAGCTGCAATTTAAGTAAAGCATTACCCAATTCACCCCAGCCTGGGAAACAATACCTTCCTGATCCCCCTAGAGCAGTGTTTCTCAACTTTTTTCTTTCTTTTGCAACTCCAGTCCTCATGGACCCCCAACAGGTCATGTTTTCAGGATTTCCCTCAGATGAAACAGCTGTGGTAATTACTAAGGCAGTGAAACTGATCAAATCACCTGTGCAAAATAATGGAAATCCTGAAAACATGACCTGTTGGGGGTCCATGAGGACTGGAGTTGAGAAACACTGCCCTAGAGGCAGTTGGATATTCCCTGGATCAACCAACCCTGGTGTTACCTATAAATGTTAGCATCCACTTATATTTTCTGCATTTATGAATGCATCCAGCTCTTTTTTTTAAATAATCTACTGAGCTGCACATAACCAGTTCTTTAGGGAGTCTATTCCACATTTCCACATCTCCTACGGTGAAGAGGTCTTTCTATGTGTGCACGTTAAATCTCTTTTCATGCAGATGCAAAGAGTGTTCCCTTTGTAATGACCTTAAAGTGAATAACTCTACAAGTTTCACTATATGAACCGCTTTTGTATTTATACATGTAGATCAGATTCCCCTTTAATCACTTCCTCTCAAAAGAGAATAAATTCAGTTCCTCTAATCTTTCCTCATTGCTGAGCTCCTCCATGCCTCTTGTCAGTTTGGTTGCCCTTCTCTGCACTTTCTCCAGTTTCCCAATGTTCTTTTTGTGAATTGGTGCCCAAAACTGAACTGCGTATTTCAATGATGTGTTACTAATGATTTGTACAGGGGTAAAATAATACCTTTCTCTCTGGAGTCTATACTCCATTTTAATACAAGAAAGGATTTTTCTAGCTTTCAAAACTAAATCATGACAGTGCATGCCATTATTAAATCTATGATCTACCATAGTAATGTCCTTGATGTATGCATCAATCGTAAGTTCAACTCGAACATCGGCCATTCGTGTGTTTGGTGAACACACAATTGGTAAGGGCGCTCAGTGGGCTGTTCGCCTGTCGCGCCCCACAATGCACTGCGCTCTGACAATGCATTGTGATTGGCCAAAGCAATGTACCTGACCACAGGTAAGGTGCAATGATTTGGCCAATGACAGTATAATTGGGTGGAGCTAGCAGTGACATTACCAATAGCTCCGCCCAATTGTTTACATTTGACCGGCAAATGTCAGATAGCAGCGAGTGCTCGGTCGGTGCGGATGGGTCAGCAGGTGTCGTTTTAATTTTTTTATTTTGCGAGTTGGCGGCTTCATAACAACGCTGGATGCTGTGATTGAGGATGGATTACGATTCTATGGAACCATTTTTTTGGCATTTTTTTTTTAAATAAAGTCAAAAAATGGTTGTGTTTTTATTCAAATTTTTGCACTTTTTTAGTGAAAGGGTAGGGGTACTATGCACACTCATTCATAAGGGGGGGCCAGGATCTGGGGGCCCTTTAGTTAAAAGTGGCTTCCAGATTCCAATAATTCACCCCGCAGACCTCAACAACTACAGCCCAAGGTTGTGGGGAGGAGGCCCTTTTCCCCATCAACATGGGAACGAGGTGCTTTGGAGGAAGCGCCCCTACCCCAAAGCACCCCCCGTGTTGAGGGCATGTGGCCTGGTACGGTTCAGGGGGGGGGGGACGAGCAGCATGGCCTGCCAGGCATGTGCTTGGATCAAGGGTCTGGTAGGAGCTTAGGGGTACCCCATGCTTTTTTCGCCCATTTTAGTGGGACTCCCCTTAAAATCCCACCAAGCCCAAAGGGTCTGGTATGGCTTTTAGGGGAACCCCATGCACTCCACCCCCAATTTTTGGGAGGTGAGGTTCCCCTTAAAAGTCTTAGCAGACCTAAAGGGCCTGGTATGGCTTTTAGGGGGAACCTCATGTACTTTGTTTTTAAAATGTTTTACTGTGGGGTCCTTCCTAACCTTCCTACCAGACCTGAAGGGTCTGGTTTGGATTGGGGGGGCCACACTTTTTTTTAATTAAAATGTAATTAAAAAAAAAAAAATGTCAGTTCTGCTGCAGCAGGTTCTATACATTGTATAGATGTGCAAGTAGTTTAAGCTGACTTTAAGCAATGAAAAATGACTGCCCCTTTAAAAATGGTACCGTATTTGCCAGCGTATAAGACGACTGGGCGTATAAGACGACCCCCCTACTTTTCCTGCTAAAATGTAGTGTTTGGGCTATACTCGCCATATAAGACTACCCCTCTTCCAATGCACACCAGTGGGAGGAATAGTGCCCCATCATTGATGTCAGTGGGAGGAATAGTGCCCCATCATTGGTATCAGTGGAAGGAATAGTGCCCCATCATTGGTATCAGTGGGAGGAATAGTGCCCCATCATTGGTATCAGTGGGAGGAATAGTGCCCCATCATTGATGTCAGTGGGAGGAATGGTGTCCCATCATTGGTGTCAGTGAGGGGTGGAATAGTGCCCCATCATTGGTGTCAGTGGGAGGAATGGTGTCCCATCATTGGTGTCAGTGAGGGGAGGAATAGTGCCCCATCATTGGTGTCAGTGGGGGGTGGAATAGTGCCCCATCGTTGGTGTCAGTGGGGGGGGGAATAGTGCCCCATCGTTGGTGTCAGGATTTGATCATGGGGGGGGAGGAATAGTGCCCCATCGTTGGTGTCAGTGGGGGGGGGGGAATAGTGCCCCATCGTTGGTATCAGTGGGAGGAATAATGCCCCATCATTGGTATCAGTGACACCAATGATGGGGCACTATTCCTCCCACTGAGACTTGCTGACCCTGTTCTCGTATGGTGCTGCTGCAGCCAGCATATGTGTTTGCAGCAGCACCTCTACACAGAACACTTACCTGCTGCTCCGGCACTCAATTTTCGCGGGGCCGCTCGGCTCCGCCCCCTCGCCGGTGATTGGCCGCCTGTGTGCCTTTCCTGAGCTACAGTTCTGGCGGCCAATCACCGGTGAGGAGGCGGAGCCGAGCAGCCGCACGAACATCCAGTGGCCGAACTGAAGGAGACGCCGCGCTTCCTGGACCGGATCGTCGTGGGACTGGATCCAGGTAAGAGACATCAGCCCCTGCAAACCCCTGTACTTAATGCCGCAGCCCCCCTAACATGTGTACCGGCGTATAAGACGACCCCCGACTTTTGAGATTTTCAAGGGTCAAAAAGTCGTCTTATACGCCGGCAAATACGGTACTTTTTGAAATTCTTTTTTTCACTGATTCATGTCCCTCAGGGCAGTACCCAAATCCCCATACCTCTTTTATGGCCAATAACTTGCATAAAAGCCTTCAAAACAGGCACTTTTGAATTTACAAGTTCCAGTCCTATATACTTGCATTATGTTAGAAGTTTGTGTGGTTGAACTTTCATTAGGTTCGAATGTTCGACCGCGAACCGAACAGGTGATTGTTCAGACCCCTGGCCAGATCTAGGGGGTGCTGGGGTGGGCTATGCCCCATAATTTCTTCTGCTGAAGAAGCTGTCTGTGGCAGCTCACACAGCTCAGACTGCACACTCCCCCCTCCCCTTCCCTGCACTGACAGATCGATGTACACTGCCTCCTCCTACCGGCTCCTCCTGTCTGCCCCACCTACACTCCAATTCCCGGCCAGTGCTGTGCCCAAGAAAATGTGTGGGTGGAGAATTTGAAGCACTGCAGCCAACTACATGTTGCCTGCAGGATTGATTCCTCTGTCTGAGCCTGCAGAGACCAGCCTGGGTGAGTGCGCTAAGCTCTGCACTACAGCTGAACTCTCCCCATCTCTGCTTTTCTTTCTCCCATCTCTCCCTCTTTCTATCTCCACCCCCTTCTTCCCCCCCTTCTCCCCCACCTCTATCTCCCCACCTTCTCCCCTACCTCTATCTCCCCCCTTCTCTCCCCACCTTCACTCTCCCTCCATCTCCCTCCCTTCTCTCTCCCTCCATCTCCTAGACAACAGACTCACATTTAAAAA